TTTTTTTAAATTAAGCAAAGAGATGTTTTATTAATCTTCATTCGGCATTTTGTCTCTTTGTATATCACAAAGAAAGACGCTATAGAAACCAGTACCATGTAGCAAGTTTGTGATTTTTTGCTCACAGCGCTAACAACCCATCACGTATTAAACATTTTTCCTCCAAACCACACACTCCAATCATCAAACCCAACTGAGCATGGTTTCTTGGGTCAATGTCAATTAATGGAAACAAAGAATGAAATAATAAGAGCGTAAGATAAAGACTAAACCCAGCCCTCACATACTCTTAACTTAATTGACAATACATGTTTTAAAGCTTGCCTTAATTTTTTTCTTGACTGAATGGGAATTTTTAATAGAAGCTTGACGTGGAAGGTATTTTATAATCGAGCAGCTGTATGGGAACGTTCGCATAAAAAGTTGTTGGTGGATATCTATCGAATTTATTGTAAGTTTGATCGTTTATTACTAAAGTCATATATATACAGAGGGCACAGCCTACTTCTGAAAGTGATTTGCAGAGTATAAGAATAAATTTGTATTCGATTCACGTATAATTGAAGATACATACACGCATTGTAAGAAAAGCAAATCTGGCGGCAAAAACAGGGGGACAATAGAGCTGGGAGAAAAATTAATGCTAGTCTGCAGGTGTTTAGAAGATACAGGTGGTGACTGCAGATCATCAGTATAGAAGAGAAATTGAACACTATACCACCTTTTGATGTCATTGTGTTGGATAATATACTGACTAAATATACAAAGGCCAATGACTCCAGAAAATAATAGATGTGATGCAGAGAATTCCCTAGAGAAAGGAGCCATATTTCGACATCTCAGAAACAAGTTAATCTAGTGACTCAAGTCGAGCACATGGTCTTTGATACCTAATACTGTCTCAAGTCCTCGACTAAACATTACACTAATGTCAGGTCAGGTCACTCCCATAGTCCGAATACCGTCGGGCACCTTGATGATAACACCCTCCTCCTCCACTTCAGTCGATCCTCTGCTTCACTCAAACTCTTCCCTGTCCAATCTGTGATGTCTTTGAGCCATGTGGTATTACGACGACCTCTACCAAAAGGGTGTGGGGCAATGTCCTCGAAAGGGAACCGTCCGAGAGACAACACTACCCTGATGCGGGTCCCGTAATGTTTTTGTTTTTTAAACGCTCGGAAATAACCTTTGAGGCCTTTTGGGCGATCAATTATCTTTATTTATTTTAGTGAAAAGATTCATCTTCACTAAAATAAATTTAAAAAAAATAATCATAATAAAATAAATAATAAAATAAATATGATTGATCTTTTTTACATTTATTTTCTTTTTCTTTTTGTTAACTTTCCGAAAAGCAACCCCCACCTAAATTCACTCCTGCGCCCTAATAGAACCGTAACCTTAAGAAGACCAGGAATACAAATATTGCAGGATCAGGTCCTCTCTAGACGATAGTGCAAGCAGAAAGCGCGATTTTGACTTCTAAAGCCGGGCACTGCATCGGCCAACAGTCGGTCAACCTACGACCGACGAATCCACTTTTCGGTCTTTGCTAATTCTTGACGTGGCAGTGCCGTCTCATTATTATTGTGTAGTTGTATAAGGGAATAAAACAGCCACTCCGAACGCGCCTCGTTGAATCGATCTTGCGCATGGAAGATGATCAAAAGAAGCCGATTCTCTACAGCGAACGTTCCAACACACTTGGAGTTCAGAAGCTAAAAAAACGCCAACGTTGTCAGACCCAGTCGGTATTCAAATCGATATTTGAATCAAACGTAAACTAATGCCAAAATATTGGATAGTACTACAGTACAACCGCACAACTGCTAAAATTAAGTGCTTTACACTGCTTTTGCCACACTACAACGACCAATTAGAACATTATTCTTTTGTTCATACGACAGAACTGATGCTAATGAATTACTTCCCACCTAATAAATACAATTACATTGTTTATTGCAGCTTTATCTGTTCACTGTTACTTGCGTTGCTATTCCTAAATTTCCAAATCTTAATGATAATAAACATGTTAATAACAATGACAATGGCGATAGCTAATTTTACTACAGGAACAAGAAACTTATATTTAGTTCTGAAAGATGATTATCAAATATTGATTGTTTTTCAAAATACAGGCAACTGAACAGAACAAATCAGATAGTTGATAGGTGAGTGGAAATTCAGTGGCTTCGGGCCTGGATATAAGAGAGTTAACGTGTTGAGTTGAATAATTGTGTAATATCAAGGCTAGATCAAGATGAAGAATAGGCAGACGATAGCACTCTTAAACTGTATGTCATTGACGACAGATGGAAGAGCACGAATTAACAATGCACAGGAAAAGGCGAGTACTACTGTTTTGTGACCTTTGAATAGAAAAGTCGTGTAGTGATGGATGACGCCAATATTTTATCGAAAACTAAGTTTAAAATAGAATACTTGACTAAGCGATGATACAGAGAAACCATGGATACTCGGATTGTTATTCTAATGAGCAAGAATATTTTAAAACGAAAGAAAAAGAACGAAATGTTTATATTAAATACAAATCTACAGTAAGTCTTTTAAGACTTAAAAAAAAGCTATTTAAATGTTAAAATTAACAGTAATTAGCATGATCGTATTTGTTGTCTACTGCCGCTATAGCAAGGTCTAGCTGCTGTCTCTTATACACATCTAGATGTGTATAAGAGACAGCATATATACTATGTGTGAGCGCTTCACTTTAGTTGTATAATAGAAATTGCCTGGGGTTAAACCTGCAAGTAAATTAATTAGGTTTCCGTGGTCTAATTGGTATGATACTAGCTTTGATATCGAGAGGTTGCATGTTGGAATCCCACCAGAAACACTATTGTTTTTAGTACAACTGATATAAAGGAAATTTTCGTTCATATATGTTCATATTCAAGCACTGTTATTATTATTATTATTATTATTATTATTATTATTATTATTTGTCTATTTTGTATATTGTGTTACGGTGTTACGTAGCAACTGTAAAGAAGAGGAATTAGTGAGTGCGAAACAATTGTCCCAACCGGGATATGAACCCGAGAACATCTGCTGTCATTTTTATACCTCCATGGGAAAATTGACCTTATATTTCGATCGGTATGTTCACCGCATACCTTGTTTTTGGTTTGATGACGGTGATGATTATCATCATCATAATCTTAATGCTGGCAACGACGACGACGACAACGATGATGATGATGATAATGATGATGATGATGATGATATGATGATGAATGTTATGAAGACGACGATAACTATGATATTGACTTTCGGGAAAATACAGATAAGCTAGACAAAAGACGGAGATGAGTTTGTACGCTGGACGACTATTTTCTATGAACAGACAGCAAAACAATTAAAGTTGATTTGTTGAAGAGGGCGTGCCTTCAAATATTGCATCTCATGGGGTGAAGCTACCCTTTTCTACCCGATTTTTGTTTGTCCAAATGCTGTTTGTATCTTTGAAAAATCAGTAGAAGCGGTTGGCGCATCGGTGGTGGCTTGGACTGCTAACCTCGAGGTCGGGGGTTTGAAACTCTTGCTGTGCAAATCGCTTGTGTCCTTGGGCAAGGAACTTTATCTACGGTTGCCTCTCTCCACCCAGGAATACAAGTGGGTACCTGGTAGTTTCCAACAGAACTGCGCTGATTACTAGCTGCAATATTATGGAATTATAGTATAATTTAATTTAATTTGGTGTTCCATATGTGTAACATAAACTAAATACCAAAATTTTAACCATAGAACACTTGCAGCTTCAGGCCCTAATAAAAGTATATGTCCTTAAAACCATAAGGCAGTACAAGCATTGTTAAAACATAATAATAAATACAAATAAAATACAAATAAAAAATAGTCTTCTGTGATTGATGGCTATAATGGTCTTTTACATTTTTGTTTTGCTTCGGTGTTGATGGATATAATTCGTAACTCTCATATAGATTTCATATTTCTAAATATTTTTTGGTATATTATCAATTCACACGATAGATTACATTCATAGGATGTCCCTAAGCCAAAAATAGTAGTTCATGTATACACCATTTTCGACAAAATTTTAAGTGAAAATTTCTGATAACCTGGCAACCACCACTGGGGGACTTCCAGAGGCCTAGCATTTCACTCTACGTAGGTACCATCATGGAATAATTAAACGATAAAACTGAATTCTAATGAGCAAGAATATTTTAAAACGAAAGAAAAAGAACGAAATGTTTATATTAAATACAAATCTACAGTAAGTCTTTTAAGACTTAAAAAAAAGCTATTTAAATGTTAAAATTAACAGTAATTAGCATGATCGTATTTGTTGTCTACTGCCGCTATAGCAAGGTCTAGCTGCTCGATACGCTCTGCGGTGCCCTACTAGCCAGCTGCGCAGGCTAGGCCGCTGCTGGAAGTCTCCACTGAGTTGTAAGACGTTGGCGGCGCTGTTTCAAAATTATTCCGATACAACAGTCTATGTAACTGTCTTGTCAAGTTAGCGTCAGACTCGAATTCCTTTAGGGTTTTATTAGGCTCCATTAATGTAAAAGAATTGGAATTAGATCTGAAAGGGATGTCATGTTATTGCATGGTCCTATAGTAAAGCGGGTGTCAGGTGACCCTGCTATTTTAAATTTTAGCCCAGTGTTTTAGAATGCGCTTCCAGCACGAATTAGACTTGCAGAGTCAGTTACTGGTTTTGAAAAAAAAAAAAAAAAAAATTCTATTTAAAACAAATTTATTTCCTAAGATATTTTAATTGTACAATACTGTATTTATATACTGTTCAGCGCTTTGATCATTTTGGAAAAGCGCTTTTAAATAATTGTATTAGCTTATTTATTAATAATATTATTACAGATATTACAAGCGACATTGTGAAATCTCGGAAATAGTACATGGAAACACACGCAGTATTCCTTGTTACAACAAGTGGTTTAATTTGACAAACCGGCGTACTGTACGTGTGACATGGGTATAAACCGTCTTACCTTCGTTTGTTGAAGAATCTGCTCTTGGAGATCCAACTGATCGCCTTGCAGGTAAAGGGAAATTTATGTTACAGACCATTCGTCCATTCAAATACGTACATTGTTGCGGTCTCTTACTCATCTTTCCACTTTCATTACACACTCCTTGATATAATGTCAAAACCAGAAAAAACGATCCTATTAGGAATTTGCAAGTACCCATCTTCTTCCGAACAGTTCGACAACTGCGCTTACAAATAAATGAAACGGGTACATTCCTTTTTTACTTATAACAGAACCTACTTACATAACATCACGTGTTCCATAGTATAGGCCTAAGCAATCTCAATTCTTTCGATTAATTTCGGATTAAGAGATTAAAAAATAATTAAGGTACTTCATTTGTTGTAATACGTATTTATAAATTGGAATATACATTTGTTATGAGGAAAACTACATATATTTCCCAGGGGAAAAGTATGGCTTTTGAAATCTTAGATGCATGTTTATCTGAATTCCACTGACATTATATGTATGACAAATTCCCCACCAACTGCCTAATGTTTTAGCAGACTGTACAAATATTTGTATACCAGAGATAATACTTACTATGCAAAGTATTGGTATAATGCACGTCAAGTGGAAATTATTATATAATGTCTTTATGCGTTTGCTTATGAACTACAAGTAGATACACGCTCATGCATCAGGTATATTTCATTCATCTTCTTCAGTTGTCAATTTTACCCAGTTTACAAACTCATATTCATCACTGATTAGCCTTTTTCATTTTTTTTATTTTAATAGTTTGTTTGCTTGTTATAGGCAAATGTGATAAAATGTGATATAATACTAAAACTCCTAATTTATACTTTATTTATTGTTTTGCCCTCGAGCTTCTACTATGAAACTCCAACCCTGAACCCGAATCCGGGAAAGATGAAAGAAGTGAAACAGTGTTTGGCGTAATTATTGGCACACGACAAAGGTGGCAAGAAAATGCGAATGAGACATGACTATAGTTACAGTTATACAGGTATGCCCCAAAACAGGCACACCCTATGTGGTTTGCGGCCGAACCCGCCTTAAATAACACACAAAACCCCTAAAGATATAAAACACCTCCAAATATCCAAACTATAGGTGGGAGGGTAGGGATCGTAAAACACCTGAGACTGCCGGACGAAACGGCTGTCTTCTACGCACCAGAGGCAAAATCCAGACAAACAAGTAAGGCGAGCGCTCGGTGCAAAAATAGTGTTTGCTAGCAAACCTGATATTTTTGCCCTCGAGCTTCTACTATGAAACCCCAACCCTAAACCCGAATCCGGGATAGATGAAAGAAGTGAAACAGTGTTTGGCGTAATTATTGGCACACGACAAAGGTGGCCGGAAAATGCAAATGAGACATGACTATAGTTACAGTTATACAGATATGCCCCAAAACAGGCACACCCTATGTGGTTGGAGGCCGAACCCGCCAAAATGGAAAAATTCTATAACCAGAAATTTTACATCCGCCACCACATATGCCAATAAGCGCCCCAAACACCACAAATCGCACCTAAGAAAACAAAATACAACGTCTTAAAATAAAACTTGCATAAATGTATTCAACACCAAAACATAGTTAACATACTATGACTAACAATATGGCGGAGTTAAAAATCTTATAGACCTATGTCAATACATACATAAAGAACCGCAAACACTAACCTTCAAGAAGAAAAATGTAGTGAGTCTACTACCACTACAACTCTATTAACCGGTGAACCAGCGAACCAGCGAACCCGAAAGGAACCCTGATAGACTATGGGAGAATAGAATTTGGTTAGACTGGCGGGGAAGGCCTAATATATTTAATAAAGGCATTGGAACGCCATGCCCCCAATAAGCGAATCTGAACATCCGAGAAATTAGAAAGGGCAGCGTGTGCAGCCCCTCCTATTCTGATGCTATGGTCCTTAAACCAGTCGGAACTTAGCCCTCACATAGCTAAACAATCTTTAACTACTAGATCGAAGGTTGCTCAAGGCAGACCTGCCATAATTTAGAAGGAATAACCGTTCCGGGCGCGACCCTCTTACTACAACATAGGACCGCAAACAACCTACAGGACAGAAAGCCCTGATGGAAGCAGCCTTAACGGGAATAGTTGAAGCCCTCAACCCGGCGTGGTTGCAGTCCAAAAACGAGACTAGCCGGATCTCCGTGTGTACCCCGCCCACAAATTAAACAGAATATCAGACAAAGCCAAAGCATGGCAATGAGACCGAGATTTGTGGCAGGAGCTCTACTATCCGCGCTGAACCATAAAAGGCCAGAGTAAAATTCGCCGTAAAACAGGGACGTAGCCAGGATTTTGAAAGGGGGGAGCCCTTATGTGAATTACGTACGACCCCGGCGGGGTCATGGGGGCGAATCCCCCTGTGAAGTAGCGCACTCTAAACGTTCTTAGGACTGTGTGAGAGGATAAAGTGAAAATTGCAATAGACGCGTCATTATAAATAAGCGCAAAAATAATTATACAATAAATCAACAGTGGCAGATCCAGGAATACGAAAGAGAGGTGAACGAGGGAGGGGCTTTCACAGACCGAGGAACGACCCACCTCAGCCCCACCATGGTTGGGGCTGAGGTAAGAAAATTTATGATTAGGGCATCTCTAGATGGCCGGAAATTACACTCTCGCACTTCAACTTGAATATATATATTTTTTTCCTTAAACAAGTGAAGGGAGGGGCCTTAAATCCACCTCTGCTCAAAACATTCTTTATCCAGAATAGTCATAATCACGAAAAATTGACATGAAAAACCAGATCACATCCTTAAAGCAAACAGACACACATCAGGAGCCAACTCGATGGAGTTTAATGTCATACGGTACCCAGGGAAAGGCACAGATCTGTTTTGAAAGGTGGAGGGCACTCACCTCAGCTCCACCATGGTTGGAGCCGAGGTGAGAAAATTTGAGGAAATAGTACCTCTAGATGGCCAGCAATGACACTTTTAGTAAAATTCATCATCACATCACCATTAGTCAAAGTGAAGCGCCAACAAAAATTCTCATGATCTTTTATCAGGGATTTTTGACAATCATAGAGATCTTATTAATGTGTGTGTGATATACCATATAGAAAACAAAGCTTAAAAGCATTGTCTTTGAGTATGTACTATACATAGGCCTAATTAAAAAACGTGATTTCACAGCCACCTCAGCCCCACCATGGCTGGGGCTGAGGTGTGACAATTTGAGGAAATAGTACCTCTCGAGATGGCCAGAAATGACACTTTTATATAGTAAAATTCATCCTCATCACATCACCATTATAGTCAAAATGAAACACCAAAAAATTTCTCATGATCTTTTATCAAGCTTACTAAGCTTTAACTATATATACTATACCGGTAATAGTTATGATCAACAAACTTTTTTTCGCATTTAGCACAATTTTCGTCACTTTTTATTGCTATTAATATTATTATCAATTATTACTATCGTCATCATCATCATTGTTATTATTATTATTACTATTTAGTAGTAGTATTATTAAACAAAACATTAAAGAAACTTTCAAAAGGATAAAAACGAAATTGAACCACAGTATCGCATTTCTATCTTAAAAGACCAGGCCTGAGATTTATGGATTTAGGCCTATGTGTTCTATTAGGCCTATGTATAACATGTACTGATGCATAGTTACATGTATGTTTTAGAAGTATTCATTTTGAGTGATCCTAGAAAAGAATTTGTATTGGCTCAAGAATAAGCTTTAAAATGTTAACACTGTGTACAAAGGGGGGGCGGCTCCCACGGCCCCCCCCCCCCCCTGCCGTAAAAGAAATGACCTTGTACTCGTCAAGTACACTGCATGCCGAAAGGGATCGACACAGGCGAAACAACCAAGCTACCGAAATAGGTAAACGTGTACCAACACACGACCTAGCATTACGGGCCCCAGCCAACAAACGACGTACAATCACCATTTTTGTCGGATCTGGCACCCCAAATAAACTGTGGAAAAAGAAATGAACGAAAGCTAGAAGGATAAGGTGCTAGCGGCAAAATCAAAATAAATTAAAAGTATATAAAATAATATAGAAAAAAATATTAAAAACTCTGAATGCTTAGCACGCGAGTATCTTGAACACACAGCTAACGTAGAGGACAGCCATCTCGTCAGGCAGTCTCAGGTGTTTTACGATATTTATATCGCAAGAGATCACAGTAGATCATTCAGCTTGGCAATTTTAGCTATATTGATTTGCTCCGTATAGATACTTTGGATATTTCTTTCTCGTATGCGTTTCGGTCTTCGAATGTTCTAGGCCTAGGGTGAATTTATTTTAGGCCCTAGTGAAGTGTAGATAGTAGGGCCTGGGGTAGGCCTAGGCCTAGGTGCATTTTCTTATTTAATATTTTATAGGCCTGCGCAAGTTTGGGCCTGGGCTTAACTTTGTCCGCAGAACCTGATTCTGGTTCGATTTATTTCGACCGGTGGTGGTCAAGGTTTTGCGAGTTAATTTAATGTAGGCCTAGGCGTAGGCCTACCTATGTTTGGCTTTTGATCTGTGCTGGTTACTGCAAGCCTGAATTGATTATGTTAGTTCCCCATTTTATACATAATATATATGAATGATGCCTATGCTGACACGAACCTGATTGCTGCACGTTGGCATGGTTCGAATCTTGTAATTTGTTTTGACCTGTGCTGGTCATGTAAGATAGATTTACAGTATTTGTTCTAGACCTGCCTTTGGCCAATTTAGTATTTATATACTTGTAATGTATCATGCATACTTAGGCCTGTGCTGGCCCGAACCTGATTGCTGCGTAAGCATGGTTCGAATCTTAGTAGCTGTCAGGTTGCGAGGAACCTGATTCCAGTTCCGGCTCAGCTAAGCACAGTAGGCCTATTGACCTTGTCTGGACAAAGTAAGCCTAGGCCTAAGGCTAAGTTTTTCTCAATTTTGTTTTTGTGCTGGTCGTGTAAGTAAGAGAGATGTACAGTATGATGATAGGCCTGTGCTGGCCCGAACCTGATTCTGGTTCAGTATGATTAAGATCGAAGTTTTGCAGTGGCTTTGTAGGCTAGACAAAAGTTTACATACGTTTGTCTAGTTTCGGCGCGTAATATTAAATTATAATAAATAAATAAATATATAAATAAATAAATAAACATAAATAAATATATATATATAGATAAATATATTTTCCATTATTAATTTATCAAGTCATTGATGAGGTATGTACTTGTTGATGGATGTGAAAAAAGTCAAAATAAGAAAAAAGACTGAGTTTTTAATTTAGGCCGCAAAACATAATAGTTAAAAAAATAATAAAGTGGATACTTTTTGAAAATTATTTGCAAAAATTAAAGCATTTACTCTGGGTCAAAGTTGAGAAATAAAAATACATGACACGTGTTTTGTGAAGCACATTATGCCTACTACTAGAAGTTTCCTGAAATTTAAAGATGTTCTGTTTATGTTATAATTATCGAAATCAAGAAACATGACTTTTCAATTTTTATTGCACAGAAAATGTTTTATTTTAGAAATATTAAAGCATTCTATGAGGAGTGGGGATTTGATTATTTTTGATAACTAGCATTTATTTAACTGTTCCCTGATTTAACGTATATGTCAAATTAAGACAATAAAATTATTTATTAAATTATTGGAGTACCATTTCCAGTCACCTAGAGATGTCGTAGCCTTAAATGTTATTACCTCCGCCATAACCATTAAGGGTCTCAGGTGGATTTTGACCTATTTAGAGTCGGATGCGTTCCCAACTATATGCACTTGTAAATACAACATTGCTACCCCGACTATGCCCACTTTGCTATTGTCGGGGTAATTCCCCCCCCCCCCCCGCCTCCGCCTCACTACCTGTCGGGAAAATCCTGGCGTCACCCCTTAATACAAGTAAAAAATAATAATAAAAAAAAAAACCAATATTAATATGCAACATTTATAGAAGCTCCTGCTGCAATTATTATTGGGTAAACATAAGCTGGCAATGTATCGGTAATGGAACAGAGAGAGGTATACCCAAAGTAAGTTATGAAGTTGGTTTCAATTTTCATTCTACAACGCCACAGTTAAATATTGTACTTACTCGTTTTAAATAATGGTATATATATTATACACAAATTACATTACATTGATTTTAGTCGACTAGCAAAATATTGGTAAATTAAATAATTTTTACAACTAATGCAATCAAGAAAACTGGTTTAAAAAAAAACAAACAAATAGATCTTTATCAATAATATAACGAATATTATAGAGGTCGTTAGTTCTAGAGACCTTTTAGCACTAATTGTATTCTAACGTTTACATAAATTCACTGTGCAGTTTACGCAATTAAGTTACCGTAACGTATACAATACTATTAATTAAATAGTGGAGTATCCGTGTTAGCCTGTCATATTACTGTCTAATACTATTAATATTAGGCCTAATATATATGTATATATAATAAACGACTTACGAACCATTTGAAGCATACGCCCTTGCTATTGGCGGAGTAAACCTTGTTGGCGACACTGTACGCTTTTTGTCATACCCGTATATTTTTCCGGTTTCATCTTCTAAAAGTATACGTTTACCTACACGAGTAGGAAGAAAACGATATCTTTTTTGCTCATTGGATAAAGCCCAACTCTTTCGAACACGGACTGGAAGAACTTTTGCTTCTCTTCCCCGTTTGCTTTCAAAATTCTCTTCCTCTTGAGTTATTTCTAGGCTAGATGAACATGCTAAAAATAAAGCGAACATAATAACACAACAAATACATTTTCCAGGCATGCTTGCGGTAATTTATACTGACTTTGATGAGAGATCTACATGGACCTGAATGTAAGAAATCCATATCTAAGTTGATGTTTTATAGTGCAGGTTAATGTTCAATTAGGTAGTTGCTAAATACAACGGGTTCAGCCGAGGGGCGTGGCTTGTATGGTAGCACGTCATGTATAAATTATACCGTCTACCTAAAAACATCGCACATACACCGTGTGGCCATGTGACGTTAGCGAGGAGGGCTGAGGCTTAGTTTGTGCTGCTGCTACGGCCGAGTGACGGACGATCGGGGGCCCAAGAGACATCGAGTCCATTTCCAGACCATTGGGCCCAAAGTATGGACGATGGTGTCGGTCTAGGCACCTCTAACCAGCCCTGCGCTAGGTCGGACGAGGAGGCCTCTTCAGTAGTCTGAAGCCTAGGCAAAGCATAGTCCTAGACTAGTGCTTCAGCAACCCGCAACAGTCTGTCTAGCAGTGGCGGGGCCGGAGGACAATGGGCTTAAGCCCCACCGCTATCGGACAAGTCAAGGGCCCCCCGGCCGAGCTCGCCGGGCAGTCTGACCAATAAAAAAAAAATTAAAAAATATAGGCCTACACCAAGCCAAACTATGTCGTTCACACTGCTAAGTGCCATTTCCGGCCATCCAGAGCTCCCTATTTTTAGAAAAATCTCATCTCCCAAACCCCCTCCTCAGGCATACAAGCTCAAGCCCCCTGTTGGACAGCTTAGCCCCCCCCCCACAATAAAAAACGTATCACAGAGCAGCCACTGTCTAGGCCTTTAGGCCTATGCAAAATGTGGCCCTAGGCTACTAAAGAATATGCCTAATTGTTATTTAATACATTACTTTATACAATACAAATTGCAATACAGACATGGGAAAGTTAATATATTTAATTTAATTAAATATCTAACATTCTGTTCCCCTTCTCTTTTTGTGTAATATAGCCGGCAATTTTGTGAAACATTAAAAAGTAATAACTTCAGCAGTTATGTTGAAATAGATGTTGTAATGTTAATTTATTAGGCCCATTTTCTCTTTCAGTAAGATAATTTGTTCATGGGATTGTGTTGGAAAATCCACACACTAAGTACAGTATTGTAGTACTAGTAGTATATGCCATTGAATAGCTTTCATTTTCTGTGATTACGGCCTAATCCCTACCTCTAAAATAAGACTAACTAGGCCTAAGTATTATTTCACTCTGTGCAGACCCCATAAATTTATAATGTTCCAGGGATCCTAATTTTGGAAAGAAAATTACACAGGAACAACTTTCTTACATTTGTTGTACCATGGAGTTGCTGTGCTTTGCTATGCTGTGTGACAAAAGACAGGGCCTACACCATGTTGACAACTATAACTGCAAGACGAACTATAGCTAAAATTATGCATGACGTCAACATATGAAGCCACGCCCCTCGGGTGAACCCGTTGTATTCAGCAACTACCTAATTAAACATTGGGATAATTTTCTCACTGTATTAATTATGTTAAAAGCCCCTCCCGGAAACTACATCCACCTGGGACAAAGGTAAAATATGCTAGGTATACTTTATTTTAATATAAATTAATTTTCTATAATTAATAATGACGATATGCAATTACGCGGAAGATGTAGCGTAAGTATGAAATTGTTACGGAATTAAGTAATTCCAGTAATGGATTCTAATAATAAATACCTCCGGTGTATATGGTAGGTCTACATCCAACCTGTAATTTTTACCTAACACACGCCTTGTCATCTAGCAACTTTTATACTCAAAATAGAGCTTCCGTGAAACAATTAAAATACAGTCAGTATACAGTGATTTAGTTATTTATTAACTCAGCTATAATAGTTTAACGCTTGCATAACTCAACTGAGTGAAAATTTAAATTTTGATAATAGAAAATGGCGCAGCTTCAGAAATGTTTAAACATATGGAAAACACGTAATCTGACACTGAAAATCATACGAAGTTTTGTGCTTTCAAAATTAATTTATGTGGCTTCAGTTTTACCGGTCAGTATAAGATTAATATGAACGTTCTGATCACAAACCAAAAATTAACAAAAATGAATTTAGAAAAAAATGAACCATGCACTTTCTGTAAAAAAGAAAATGAGACAATTGAATACTTATTTGTATATTGTACTTGTATAAATAACTTTTAAATGACCTTTACTGAGTCTAACATAAGGAACATAAAGTAAGCTTTTATTCTTTAAATTGTAGCCATGAATACTTAAAGAAATTTGAAAAATTGCAGGTGTGGAAGTTGGGAGTTGACCTTTAACATATTGAAACATAAAAGAAGAAACTTGTACTCTGTGCAAATCAAACAATTTCAAAATATTAGGTTTTTTAAACAGAGGTCCAGACGGAGATGCAAAAGAAGCTGAATTAATTATTCTGACAACACGTTTTTAAAGTTTAAGTATTCTGTCCAGATTTGAGGGTAATCACTCACCACACGAGGCTACAGTATTATAGATAAGGTAATATAAGTGTATTATATAAATTAATTAAAATATATTGTGGAAAAAAATTTTAATCTATTTATTATTCCTACATATTTTGATATCTTATTAGAAACATAATTTTGGTAAGATTTCCAATTTAAATTTTCACGTAGGCCAATATATAATCCTAAGAATAAGTTTTCCGATTTACGTTGAATAATTTGTTCATTTAGAGCGATATTATGATTAGATAAGTTACGGTAACTTCTTTTGTTGTGGATGAAAAAATATATAATTTGTTTGTTTTTTTTATTTAATTAAAAAGCTTATTTACATTGAACCAAGAACCTGTTGTTTGTAACTCATTATGTATTGTATTAAATAAAACATCGAGATTATCATGAGTAAAAGAATGTTGTATCGTCGGCGAAGGATGTAACTTGCAGTGTGTAAAAAAAGTAGTGGACCTAATACAGATCCTTGTGGCACACCACAAGTGACATCCCTCGTCGACGATCTTTGATATCCTATTGAAACAAATTGTTTACGCTCGTGCAGGTAACCTTTAAACCAGTCTAACAAAATTCCTCGGACACCATATTGAACAAGTTTGTAAATTAAAATGTTATGGTTAACTACATCAAAGTCCTTTGATAAACCTAAAAATATGCTTAACTGTAATTTCTTATTTTCAAATGACTCAATGATATTATTTATAACAGGGAACAGTGAAAATTAGGAACAGTGAAATTACATTTATAAGTTCACGTAAAGCATGACAACTGACTGCAGACCATTTCCGGTCACACATTACTCTCCATAACGCAGCACCCCCTAGCTCTGGATTAGTAGTAGAGTAGTTGTCAAGACATTTAGACTACCAATTAAAACGAAGTAGAAGCCTAGGCCTATTCCGCTCCTACACATGTACATTTCTATAATTCATCAGGCGAACTACTGTAATAGCCAAATTATACTAGTTTCGCTGTACATAGGCCTAGGCTCTGCAATCTAGTGTGAGCATGATTGATGTTTATACCATACTCCTTGTCCCCCTACTATTACTATCAAGTGCTGCATATTAAAGACTTTAAATAATATGCAGTGATAACCATACCAAGGCAGTCTAGCTGTATGTAAGTGCACCCTATTTTTATATATTTCCACTCGATCACAGTGCAATTAATTATGGAATGTTTATCTGTTTCTATATTTATACTGTTTTTCATCACTTTAAGTATAGGCCTAACTTATTTTATATCGTATCCATTGTATAGTATTTTAGAATGTTTTTACTGTGAACCTTGAAAAAAAAAATTATATATGACAACTTGAACTTGAACTTCAAATTTATGTCTTCGTTTTGTATCAAAACATATTATTTGAATATTAAATACTGTATTAATAATTTGTTTTAATTTTTTTACAGCTAGGTGAAGGAAACGGAACTGTGCACTATATCGATGTCATGCAAATCTGCACTTTGGCAGCCTTGTCTCCATCAGTTTTTTTTAATTCAGTGCAGTCATTTAAAATTGCATTGTATATTATCTGGACTGGTTTACTTTTGTGTTATTTTGTAGTTTAGTATAAACCTACACAGTATTCAATATCATAGGAAATATAATACCTTGCTTAAAATTGAAAGTGCTTTGTATTATTGTTACTAGGCCATATATGTTTTATGTATTATTTAAAGAAAACGTTTTTAGTTACACTCTTTTAAAACAGTAATGAAAATGGTGAAAGAAATTACATACAATTACATAATGTAAATTGTTGTTTTTGCTTGATTTATTTTATTGAAACCGTGTATTAGTCGCCGCCAGTTTTTACGTATAACAAATATAGCAAATAACAGATTAGCAGATTGCACTTCTAAGTATATATCATCACCTTACATACGTTACAACAATTCATAGTAAATTATTTAACTTTTAATTGCCTTCCAATTGAAAATTGACCCAGTACTTGAACATGCTGTAACTGTAACCCAGCATGAACACGAAACAAAGGAATAGTGAGACAAGATTGTAATCTTTACGGTATTCTTTTGTATATTCAATTAACCATTCAGATTTAAGCCACAAAGTTACTTGATGTACATGTATTACAGTCACAGCTACAACTATAAAATGCAGCAGACTACGCACGTGGCAATGATATGATATACTAAAACTCACAAGGCCACACAGATATTTCAGTTGGCAATGTAAAGTACAAGATACATCTACCATTCTCTGCAACTCATAACACACGATTAAAATGAATATTTAAATTTTTGCTATGAATAATTACGTGTATTCATCTTCCAACTATCCACCAACTTAAGCCACTGAGTTGGATATCATCATCATCATCATCATCATCATCATCATCATCACCATCACCATCATCATCATCCTCACCACCACCACCACCATCATCATCATTATCACCATCATCACCATCACCATCACCATCATCATCATCATCATCATCATCATCATCATCATCATCATCATCATCATCATCATCATCATCATCATCATCAACATCATCATCATCATCATCACCACCACCACAATCATCATAAGCAGCAGCAGTAGCAG